AGGCCAAAACTTATTACTTGGTTCAATGGCAAGGTTACAGCAGGCAGGAAGGCCACATGGGAGCCAGCTGAAGACTTTACGGCCCAACACCGTACCTTCCCACTCACTCTATAAACTTGAGGTCAAGTCTTGTTGAAGGAAAGGGCTATGATATGGTTGTTACTTGGTGGTTAGAGGGTAGTTAGGCAGTTAATGGTTGTTATATGGTTGTTAGATGAGCTGGCATTTTGAGATGTCTATAAATACATTGTAAGGGCTGTAATGTACACATGAAAAATAATTGTATTCTCTTTCTCTCTCTCTCTCTCTCGAAATATCTTCTCTTCCCTCCCTCTCAAATATCTTCACCCCTGTTAAACTCCATTAGAGAGCTGTACAACTTTTCAGCTGTAACATATATACGATTCATTGTGCTAGAGTTGAAAAAAGGTTTTCTTAAACCTTGAACTTGAGTTTTCAGACGAAATGTCAAATTCATTCCCAAAGTGAAAGAGTAGAAGAACAAATTCCAATTCCAAGAACAGATTTCTAATTTTTTGTTTCCAATTATTTGTAATCTGATATTAGATTTCTGATATTTTGTTTCCAATAAAGAAGAAGAAGAAGAAAAGGGTGAAAGAAAAGAAAAGGAAGGGAGTGGGAGGGGAAAGAATAAGAAAAAAAGAAATGAGGTCAAATTGAAAATTTTAAAATATATAAAATTCTAATTTAGCCCAAATGACCGGAAGTTAACCTGTAAACGGGTAAATGACTTTTAGTGAAAGAATTATGTAAGTTCGGGTACTTTTGTGAAAGAATTTAAAATTCAGGTACAACTTCGAAATTCAAGTGAAAGTTCACGTACCATTACTGAAATTTACCCGAGTTAAAGTTTATGAAAAAGTGTAATTTGAATAAATACTTTATAGGAAAGTATAAAAGTTTATGGGAAAGATTAAAAGTTTATGAGAAAGTGTAATAATTTAAATAAATACTTATGGAAAAGTGTAACAGTTTATGGGAAAATGGTAAAAGCATTATATGACTTTATACTGAGAATCGTGTGGTGGGATTTTGGTAATGTCGAATGCTTTGGACCTGTTTTCATTAAAGAAACACCGGTATTCTAGGGTTATCCTCAAGCTTTGTGTTTGACTTGACATTTTAATTGATTGTGTTATTGTATGCTTTTTTTGTTCAACATTTATTTTCACTTGATTTAGAAATATAGTGTACAAGGAAGTCTTTCAAAAACTTTAATTGCATTTTTTGTCTTCAGACTCTTCACTATACATTCCTCAATATTAGTATATAATACTTTTAATGTTTATATTGAATACAATTTCATTGTGTTGTTTTTATATATATACACTATAAATATATTTTTTATTTTGAGCAAATTCTATAATTGGTCCTTTATAACAGGGGGGTTTCCCTATTTAGTCCTCTATTATCAAATATTACCGAAGTGGTCCTTCTTTTATGGGTACCTTTCCACAAATAGTCCTTTTTTGATCTTCTATCATGTTGGTGTTAATTTGAGGGCTAAAAGTGTAATTTTACAATGATAATATATCTTTTTTGTCATACACAATTCCAAAGGTCGTTCCGTTTGCGTCGTTTGTGAATTACAGTTGCTTTTTACGACAACTATAGTCTACAAATGTGATCTTTCGTCAGAATCCTAGCCCACAATCATAGTCATTATTTTTGTATTATCCGCTTAACCAATATCAGAACACATCACTAGACATAATGTTGACGTCAATTTATACTTTTAGCCTTTAAATTAACACCAACACGGCAGAAGATCAAAAAAAGGACCATTGGTGGAAAGGTACCCTTAAAATAAGGACTACGGGGGTAATATTTGATAATAGATGACTAAATATGGAAACCACCCTGTTATAAAGGACCAATTATGAAATTTACTCTTTTATTTTCTTAGGTAACTCAAAATACTGTCCGTGCAACGCACGTGTTAGAGAACTAGGTGACTTAAACAGAGTACTCTCTCCATTCTTTTTAAATATCTGGTTCGTTTTTCGAATCTAATGTTTGACCTGCGGTATCTACTAAAATATATTAGAAAGAAGTCTTAAAAATGACACATTCAAAGTATTTTTCGATACCAATAATTTTACATAATTTTAATATTTTAATTCATAATACATTATTATGTATAATTAATCAAACGGTTCACATACAAAGGGTAACTAATATTTAAATAAGAATGGAGAGAGTATGTATTTATAATTAATAATAAAGTAAATTTCCAAAATAGTCCTTTATAATAAGGTGTTTTTCCAAATCAGTCCTCAATAAGCTTTAATTACTTATGTGGTCCTCTATAATTGAGATTTATTCTCAAGATAGTCCTTCATAAATAATGTTACTCAAATGAGGATTAATTGAAGGTATTTTGGTTTTTTTTATCCGCTAAGTTTAGAATTAATTCTTAAAATGATCATTTATAAAAATATGCTTTCCCAAAATTGTTTTTTCTAACTAAAGATGTGTATTTGATTTGAAATTTAAATTTTTTTTATAAGTTTTAAATAATTCATGAATTATTTATAGTCAATGTATTTTTTCAATTTTACTTTTAGTTGTACAGAAATAACTATTTTGAAAATATACTTTAAATTTGGATGATCAAGATAGCAAAATATCTCTCAATTAATCATCATTTGAGTAACGTTATTTACGAAGAACTATTTTGGAAATAAATCTCAATTATAGAAGATCATTTATGTAATAAAAGCATATTGAGTGTTGAATTGGGAAAATACTTTATTACAAAAGGACCATTTTGGGAACTTACTCAAAAGTTTAATTACCTACCTGGTCCTCTATAATTGAGATTTATTTTCAAGATGGTCATTCGTAAATAATGTATACTCAAATGAGGATTAATTGAGGGTAATTTGATATTTTTAATCCGCTAAATTTAAAATTAATTCTTAAAATTATCATTTATAAAGAAGTGTTTTCCCAAAATGGTTTTTTTAATTAAAGATGTGTATTGGATTTGAAATTTAAAATATTTTTTATATAGAAATCATCCTAAATAGGACTAAAACATAGAGAAAAGTACCAAAATATGACTTCCATGTTTTTTTCCCGTAATAGGACTTTGCACTGTGTTAATGTGACTTTGCATTGTGGTAATGTGGCAGTGTACATGTGCTAATTACTATACTTTTTTGGTAATGTATATGACCATGTTTGGTAATATAGTCCTATTTTGGTAATAAAAACATGAAAGTCCTATTTCGGTATATTTTCAATGTTTTGGTCCTACTTTGGTCTTTCTCCCTTTTTTATAAGTTTTAAATAATTCATGAATTATTTATAGTAAATGTATTTTTTCAATTTTACATGTAGTTATATAGAAATAACTGTTTCGAGAATATATTTTTAATTTGGATGATCAAAATACTAAAATATCTTCCAACTAATTATAATTTGAGTAATATTATTTACGAAGGACACTATCTTGGAAATAAATCTTAATTATAGAGGACAATGTAAATAATTAAAACGTATTGATGACTGAATTGAGAGAACATTTTATTACAAAGGATCATTTTGGAAACTTATTCTTAATAATAAAAACACAATTATTATTAAAGGATGAATATATTAATGATCGCATAAATTTAAGGAGAAGATAACAATCTCGCATAGGACTCCATTAATTAATAGTATGGGGTCCACTACTCCACTTTGACCAACCCATATTATTTAGGATTGCTATTTTGTTCGTCTTTTTAAAGTAGATTAAATAGATTATTCATATACTCCGGTCAATTGGAGATTGTGCAGATCGAATATAAAATTAAATAGATATGGAGACTGGAGTACACTACTGCTAGAGTGATAGGGAGTAACGGTCTTGTACGTAAAAATTCTGTTTTGATTATCAATCTATTGTTTTTGTGGGGGGCATACGGCGAGTTTATGATAGGGGTGCAGGGGTAGGGGTAGGGGTAGGGTGCGGGGGTGGGGGGGTTTTAAGGGGTGGGTTAGGAAGGTACGAACCTTCAATTTTACAAACGCAGCACTGTAAGTGCCTTAAAATGACAATGACACCAGAGTGTCACCGTATTCTAGTATCACTAATAAATAGATCACAATTTGTTCAAAAAATAATAATAAAACATAGTTTGTTTAATACTTCTCCATATCGTTGAACGAGCATCCAATTTGCATTGTCCTGCCCTTGAAATTAAAATTCACTAGTGTCAACCCCGTGCTTCGCACGAGCTCGTATATATTCTAAACTTTTGACATTCTATAAATATAATTTTATTTATTTTAAATGAATATTTTTTCACTCTAAGATATACGGAGTATATTTTTTAAATAAAAAGTATACTTTAAATATTGATGTGTATGCACTAAAAGTTCTATAACTATTTTATTAAAAAAAATATTACATTAAAAAAACATAAAATGCAAAAAACAATTTAATATCTTTGGAGGTGAAATAATGTTTTTTTCTTTTTTTGAAAGTGAAATATTTTTAAATTAATAATTGAGAGTCTTATACATACTCTTTTTAAAATTTTGCAATCAATATGCATGTTTAAAATACGGAGTATATTTTACAACAGTGAAATATACATTTATAGAGTCGTTAGAAAATGTTAAAGTTTTATACAAAATATAATCAAAGTAATGTTTATTCATGCTAAAAAATAATATTCATTTAATATAATACAATAAAATTGAAAGGTAACCATGCAAGGATAGGCTGCGGAAATTAAAAATTTTAACATCCTAACATGATTATCTTGCCCAGAATCACGTACTAAAACTTATAGTGAGCAAGAAGTTTATACCTTTCTCCGTAAGCGGTAAAAACGAAGAGGTCGTAGGAAGAGCGTTGAAAGTGCAAACGTAACCGTTCAAGCGTCCGGTCTCCATCTTTGACACACGAACAACGCCGGAGTCTACCACAATCTTTATGCTAGTAAAGATTATAGTAGTATAAAATATAAAGATTAAAATTGGGATAATAATAATCTTGTATATTTCTATAGAAAATATTTCCAATAATATTTAGAAAATATTAAAGATATTTTCTATACACAAAATGATATTAATGGAACCAAACTAATATTTCTTCTCTCTAAAAGGATATGGCCGAATGACACACTTCACAAAAATAAGTGGAATGGTGTGTAGTATATTTAAGGAGAAAAAGTGATTATTAATTTGACTTTGTCATTAACAAAATGACAAAATAGTTAGCTTCACTCAATTATCAATCAAGGAAATTTTTGTTCCTTTAAAAGATATCATGGCCAAAAATCATGTGAGAAGGATTTGTAAAATTCTTCTCCACTTAAATGTTCAAAGTGTATTTTATTTGACACCAAAAATTAATATAAAAATTAATTTTAAATCAAATAAAATACCCATATCATTTTTAAACAAGTATACAAATATACTTTAAATAGTTTATGTCAAAATAATTATTTTCATAATTAAAATGACAAACCAAAATAAAATATTCAACATATAATATATATATATTTCGGTATTTATATATATAAATATATCACCGAATGTTTTACATATATAATATTATATTCCAAAATATTTTATTTTACTATTTTACAAATATACAAATTACTTATTATCCCATTGTTTAATCCTACTCCTTAAATTGTTCAAAGTGTGTGACCCGTATAGGCACTTATAAAGCTGGCCNGACAATGCATCAAAGCATGCGGGTTCACGTATGCAGAAAACGTAATACTTCAAGTCGAAGGATAGTTACACCCGTGGTCGCGCTAAAGATGCTTAGAGCATGAACTAAAAGTTCAAGCAACATCTTTAGGATGGGTCAGTCCGGCATCCTATTATCTCTAGATAATATCTGCCCATGTGCGGATGCGAACACACCGTCATTGACTATGAGACTAAGTCAAACATCCAACACACACTAGTCTCACATGCATTAACGATATCCCACTCTCGTTAATACTCGACTATGGACATTTAGATAAATATTTATTTCAAGATGTTAGTCTCATCAGCAGAAAAACACTATCTGATAAACATCTTTTAAATATAAATCTAGGAATATAATATTTGTTTACATTAGCATGAGATGTATAAACATATTATATCTGCCTATACATGATAGAATAACGATAAACAGTTGGCCATCAGGGCACAACTCCAACAAAAATATATTAAAATTTTTTTAAAAAGAAGCTTAAAGAACCAATGAAATTCCTCCATCTCATAATTAGTGTACATGTGGATGCACATGTGGCATGCCACATGTCAACACCACAACCAAGAAACTCAACCTTACATATATATATATACCACAATTTGTACCACAATTTGTACCCCGCAGTTTTGCACCAACATTTTGTGTTGGTGTAAAACTAATTTTTGTTAAACACACCAACATTTGTGTCCGTGTGAATTTTTATTAACGCACCAACACTTGTGTCGGTGTAAACTATCGAATTGTTTGTGCAAACTTGTGGTGTACAAATGGGATATATTTGTTGGTGTAAGTGTAGCATGGTCCTAAAATATTCGATCACACAAAAAATCACTAACCTTTACTTGGCTTGCAGTTTTTATACAAATACGGAGTATTAATTTTATTTTCTATTATCTACTTTTACATAAACAATACAAAAAACGCATATTTGTAGAAAAACAATTCATAAATAAAACATAATACTCAAAAGATAACATGTAAATATATAATCCGTTTTAAAAAATATAGAGTATTTTAAAATTTATTTTAATTTTTATGAGTATTACACTTAAAGAAATAACTTTAAAAAGAAGTACTCCCTCCGCCCTACAAAACCCTTCTCCTTTCCTTTTTACATCCGTCCAAAAAATCCTTCCCTTTCTCTATTAAAAAGTCACTTTTACCCCTAATACTTCTTAACATACTTATCACATCATACTTTTCTGTATTAATCTACTCATCACATCCTACTTTATCCATTACATCAAAAGGCATTTTTGGAAAGTCAATACCAAAATACACTCTCCTTAAATTCTTTAAAAGCCAAAATGTAAAGCTTTTTTCTGGACGAAGGGAGTAAAACATAACTCTTATATTATATCTCCAAAACAAAAGTAATATGTTTTTATCTTCAAAATATGCATGTTGCACTGTGACATTGTATAATGTATAGTATATCAACATTTGACATTGTTTTTTGATATTATATGGTGATATTAAATGTCCTATCTTGATATAAAATTATAATAATGTCGTTTTTTTGTCTTCTTCTTCGAGAAAAAGATTCAAGTGTGAGTAAAACATTGAAAATATTCTAAAATAGAATTTATATGTTTCCATTTCCAAAATAGGAGTTCTATTTTTTCTATTTTCAAAATAGGAGTTAAAATATATTTACATTAGCAATTATGATCATGTACATTATGTAAAATGTACATGTATAATGTCACAGACATTACGAGTTCTATGTAGCCGTAGTCGCACTTTTTAAGATGCAAAACTAGTCATTTAAAGCTGGAACACTTTTTCTAAGGGCAATGCTAGGGGTACCCCATGTTGGTGTACCCCTAGCTTAATTCTTTTTCTAATCCTTATTCATCCTCAAAAGTGGGACGCGACTCAAAATGAAGAGAAGTTTGAAGACAGCGGATTTGTTAGTTCTCCTCATCGTTGCACTTTCATATGGTATTCACATCACCAATTCACATGTTTTAGATTGATTTCTCACTCCTTATTGAAATACCTGCTGTTAGACAGAATTGAATAATAGAATCTACATGTTTTTCATGGATTTCTACTTTCGTATTGAAATAATTGTCAGAGAGAATTGATTAATAGAATTATTTTGAGTTTAAGTGTCATTTCTTTGTGAATTCTTTATAAGTGCATGTTTTTCCTACAAATTTGATTTCTAAAATGTACAATGAATCAATTTACTTTTAAAATGGTTCACAATTGTTTAAAATAATCTTCGTAGATGTAACATTTATGTCAAATTATCTTCTACTCCCACCATCTCACAAAAGGATTTTAGACTTCTTTTTTGGATATCCACTTTTAGAAAAGTTTTATAGCTCATATATATATTTTCGATCCAACTCAAGCGTAGAACCTTTACGGGACAAAAGGAGTATATTTTTCATCTTCTCTTAAAATTCAAAGAATTTTTCTTTGCTTGAACCGCGGTGTCTAAAATTAAACTTCATAAAAAAAGGAAAAAACAACTTGAAAGACATGACGGCTCAAAACTTCTTCTAACACCTCACTTTACAAGAAGACGGCATTGAATCATTGATGAGCTTGTTTTTTTTCAAGTTTCATTAAAGACACTACTCAATCAAAAGAAAATTTTGGGATTTCAACTTTCAAGAGGAGTTAAGAAAATATAGAAGATAACTTGAAATATTAATGCATGTGAAGGGTATTTTAGACAATTAACTTGTCATTTATTACTTAAAATCAACTCATAGTTTCACCATAAGGGTGTACCTTCAACCTACTTGAAAAATCAAACATGAAGATCATGCATCTTTTTTAAAAGTTTGGAGTATATGAACTACTTCTATAAGTTTAGAGGAAACATGCACTTTTCTATAAGTTTAGAGGAAAACATGCACTTTATAAAGAGTTCGGGAGGAAATGATGCTAAAAATTAGATTTATTTTAGGTTTAAATATGTTTTCAGTCCCTGTAAAATTGGCGAGTTTTGTTTTTGGTCTTTGTAATTTTTTTTGTTAAGTCTTCCTTACAAATGTTTTAATTTTATCTTGAAATGGTCTTTAAACATAACTTCTACTTCTAATTTATTGAAATAACACATCTTGCATTTCTTCAACATCCAACACTATTATCATGCCCTATATTGTGTCTTTATTCATATTACATCTCTAATAAACAAATATGTCAGGAATATAATATAACATAATTTGGAAATTAAAGACTTAATTCGATGAAGGACACCATCTATATTATGAGAATTGTAGCTAAGGTAATTAGAAATGCCAGATTAAATTGTTAAGTAGGAAATATATAAATGTGTTATGTGAACAAATTAGAAGTGCAAGCTAACTAAGCTTAAGAACCATTTTCAAAATAAAACTTTTTGTAAGGATGATTTAACAAATTTTTTTTATAGAAATCATCCTAAATAGGACTAAAACATAGAGAAAAATATCAAAATAGGACTTTCATGTTTTTTTTCCCGAAATAGGACTTTGCATTGTGGTAATGTGACTTTGCATTGTGGTAATGTGGCAGTTTACATGTGCAAATTACTATACTTTCTTGGTAATGTATATGACCATGTTTGGTAATGTAAGTCCTATTTCGAGAATAAAAACATGGAAGTCCTATTTTGATATATTTTCAATGTTTTAGTCCTACTTTGGTCTTTTTCCCAAAAATTTACAGGGATCAAAAACAAAAGTTATCTTATTTACAGCGACTAAAAATATATTTAATTTTTTTTTAATATGATAAAAAATTTATACGGATGTAATCACGTTCAAATTCATTTAATTTTCACTCTACCAAAAAAGAAACAATTAGGTAGTTAGTTATAAGCGGAGGAAATGTTAACTATTGGGATTATTATTATTATTATTATTTGGAAAACCTATTGAGATTATTATTAAAATGTCTATTTGCAAATTCAAAAGTGAAATTTGCACTAAATAGTACTAAGAAAACATATGTGATTTCCGAATGTAGTTCTTAAACTTTTTTATTTCCTAAATAGTACTAGAATAATGTCTAGTAGTTGGAATAATGTTCAGTGATCATGGACATTTAGATTGAACAATGTCCAATGGCGGTAACACTTATTTGAACAATGACCAATGGACAATGACCTGTGGTACTACATTGGGATATAAAAACATATGGTACGGAATACTACGTTAGGAAATGCACTATGTTTTAGTACCATTGAAATAAATTCCCCAATTCAAAATACTCTTTTCTTCTTCTTTTAATTTATTTATTTCGTAGATGCTGGAGTTGTGTATAGGGTTGGTGGGGCGATATGCTCTTCTTTCACGGGCACAAACCAATGCAAGTTTGGACCGGACAATGGGTGTTTCCAATTGTGCACCATAGCACTGAAGAGACCCATTGTGGATGCAAATTGTGTAATCGATGGGGATGGCACAACCTCCTGTCAGTGCAAATTCAATTGCTAGTTTTATTTTCTTATAATGAAAATGGAGTTCAGTCGGATGATAGCAGTATAGCATGCATTTTTTTGTTATCAACTAAATAAGGACATACTCCGTATTACTA